CCATGGAGTGAAATTAACTCTACTATGAGATATGCAGCTAAGAGCTGCAGTTACCAAATAATCACAGTTGTACACCTTCAACAATACTGTTAATTATATATGAAGACCAAGCAAAATTTTGAACTATGGCAAAGAAAAAGATTTGATTGCATTTGGCTCTAAAAACATGCACAATAATATTATTTTACAGTTAAGAAACAAAGCATCCAAAAGTTGATACAGATACTTCAGTTGTTACTCATACCTTGCTGTAAATGCTATACAAACTTTTTAATCGGCTAGATAAAGTAACCTCCATCCCTGGAACGTAACTGCAGTGCAAAAGAGGAGTGAATGAGAGCACCTAGAAGATATGATTAAACTAACAATAGTTGCTCCTACATGCACAGGAAGTAAAACTAAGAAAACCAAAATAGTTTTATTAGAAACAAGCAGCAGCAAGTGATTATAAGAAGAGCAAAACATACGAAATTGATATTAACAGCTCCCTCTCAAGTGCCTCCTCACAAACAACAAGAGATGCCAGAGCAACTCCAGCATCCTGCACAACCTTCGGTTTTGGTTCCATCTTTGAACTTCTTCTTACATTATTAAGAAAGTTAGCCCGTTTTCTCCTATCCAACAAGATGTCAAAAGGAACCACAGCTTCCAAAAGATCCTGCACATATAAAACAACTGGAACTAATTACTCAAAATAATCAATTTGCTTCTTGAATTTTATTTTATGGTAAACAAAAGGTATCCAACATATAGTCAAGGAAAAGCATGAAACTCTTCCAAAATATCCAGTAAAGCTAAACAAAAGAAATGTGACAGAAAATTAACAATAACTACAGATTGCAATCATCACATGGTATTTGACATGCCTAGTTTGGACAGAAAATTCATGTCAACAGCAGAAAGCTCCAGCATTAAATTCATCAACCAAATGTCTTTTACTTAAAATTTGAAGCAAACAATGCTGTTCAGTGGTCAATATGCGGTATAGAATTATAATGTAACAGACATCTTTCAAGATCATATGTTGAAGGTGCCCAATGATGGAGCATATTAAGTGTTTTGATTACACTATCCGTGGTTCGCTAAGAAGAAAACAAGTTGTATTTAGTCTATCAAAGGGATGCTAAAATGACCTGTCTACCAGAAAATTTTCATCCTTTGTTGATTTCTGGCAGGAAGACAGGATTTCTCAACGTTATGCATTACAACTTTTTGCTATCAGCAGGCGGTCATTAAAATTGGCAAAATCCTAATACATCAAAAGCAAGCTTTCAACCAACCACAGAATATAATGAGCATATAGACACATCACAGTTTCTGTCCTATATGCTTACCTTAATGCTAGTGATATCTTCATCACTGATAGAATCTTCATCCTCAAGCACTGAATCATTTTCATGTATAGAGGACCAGCTGGCTTTTGCAGATATTCGTCTAGGATACACTCCTTTATTGATGGGGCTCCACATTGAAGCCAGATCAGCTCGCAGCTTCCTAAATATTTGAGGCTGCACCAGTGTCCACAAAATTGAAACAAATGTGGTTACAAAATTTATTTGATATGCATAATCTGAAAGGATTCAGAATTTTCAATTAGAGGTCAAGCAAAAAAGAAGCTATACTATCTGCCAGAAAAGAATTTTAAGTCATGACATTGATTGTTATAACACTATGGCATAAGGGTTCCCAACAATCAAAGCTTGCCATTATTTTCTCATTCTATATCTTTGATAATCTTAATCATGCTATATGCAACATTTATATGCTTGATGGCACACTCAACCAAAGTGTGCATATAGCATGGACCTAAAAGTCAATGCAAAATATTGCTGTTCCTGCATAAATCTAAAAGGTAATAAAAAGCCCATCTGATGCTTGGCTGTCAAGAGCCTTGTAACCACAGTTTCATATGCCACTGCTGGATTATGAACATAGAATCCATAAACCGTACTCTAACTGACGTTAAACTGTATGAGTGTTAGGACCCATATTTTGTGTATTTACAAAACAATTTTCTTGCTACATTTGGAAGAAAAACAGAAATATATTTCTCATTCAAAAAATAAGTGAAAAGTTCATGATTGATGTCCCAATTTAAAAACTCATGCAAAAAATATGTATCCCACTTTCTGATAAATTACTTTAGCCTCACTGAACAATAATTTAAAAACGAAAAAGAGAAAGAGGGCTATATCATTTGGACATCATGAACATAGTACCATGAAATGCTCTAATATCATGATAAGCATCCGACCAAAATCCAATTGGCAATAAGTAGAGAGGCCCACTTGAAAGGCCAAAATACACCCCTAAGCATAATACCACTTAAAAATAACATTACCAAACTCATTGTATCAAAAGTTCCAGAAAGAAATATATGTCCCACTCAAACAGAGTTAATAATGCTCAAACTACATGATAAATGGATTACAAGGTTACAGACCATATGCAGAATAAAATCATCAAGAACATCTAATATTTTTAATAATATTATTATAATATGCTCTTTCAGATCCCATGAACTTGAAACACATTCCTTTACCTGAAGAACAGCAAAGCACAGATCTTCGAGCTCTGCTTTCACTGCCCACAGACCCAATCTAGAAGCTAGGAAACACCAAACAAGTAAGGTTTCCTGTGCGAAAGCCTGAGCCTTTGCTAGTGGCAGGGCATAACTGTAAAGAATGATCACACCTTTGAGTGCAATTCATACAACAATACCATTATGATTAACCTTCAACCCATTGAACCATAAAATTCAAGAATTATAGTACCACAGATTTTGTCATAAATTTCTCAGAGCTTGACACGCATGGAGCAACATCTCCTTATACATATGTTTAAAGGATGGGAAAAAAAAAACAGTGTCTATAATGCAAGATTCCTAAAATTTAAAATTTAAAAGATTCAATAAATGAATTAACCAATTTTCCATTTCAATGAATTATAACGAAGTCCAAGGGGGGTAGTGGATCCAAACCTTGGACCTTGACCCTCTTAAGTAGGGATAACAACAGCTAGGCCAAGCCTTGGTTGTTTTTTCAATGAACTAGCATATAGAGAAACAAACAGGAAATATGTTTTCATCATATATAATAAATCTAACAGGTAAAATTTAAGAAGCATTACATGGTTCTCATATTGTGAAGACGGTCTGCCAGCTTGATAAGCACCACACGAGGATCATCAACCATTCCCAAGAGCATCACTCGCAGATTATTTGCCTTAAAGGAAAAAAATAGAATGTGAAATTTAGAAAACAACAGCTTCTAAATGGTGTTCACATACTTGTAACTAAAATCCAATTAATTTATTTATCTATCACCCTATATTACAGTTTTCTACCCAGCTAGTTCTTTAAGGGCATGCCATCCTCACCACCCATATATATTGAGATAAATATAGAAGAGGACCACAAGAACAAGTGCTTCAACTATAGAACTTAACACGCCCTTAGGGATAGAATCAACACAATTGCTACCAAGACCCTTATATCCACAGTGACTTGTAACTACTATCACTTAGATCCATGCAATATGCATTTTCTACAGTTTTCTTTTTTCCTTTCCCTTATGTATTAAAATTACTTCTTGACCACTCCTTTTTAAGTGTAAAACAGTACAGACTTAAAAGTTCACTGCAAGTCAGCAAATGCACTCAAAACCATTATGACTGACCTCCCAACCAGAAGCACTAAAAATAAATAATTAAGTCATACACTGAATTTACAATTTAGTTATATCATAAGGAAATACTCAGTTGATATTTAGCTTATTTTAATGTGGACCACATAATCATGAAGTTTCACCTATGGTTTAGCTTACAAATCAGTTTCTAAATTCCATCAACCACGTTACGCTTATTTTTTTATAGTGAAAATTCTCTAACCACATACCTCTTCATGACCAAGGGTACTCTGGTTAACACTTACCCTCCGATGTCTCCGTAGAAGCTGCAAAACAATATATTAGATGAATCACATGACAACATTTATACATACACACACACACACACACACATATATATATACTGGGATGGGTTAAACATCACCATACAAGGATCCAAAAAACAAGAGTATGATCATGAAAATGGAACATTGTACAACACAGAAAAACATCAAAGATGGCAAATATTACACTAAGGAAGCAGAAGAAAAAATAAGAAGACAGGACAAGAATTTATAATTCAAACTTTCTACTTCGACAGCAATGTCATTATGGTTCCCCTATCATTGCCATCAATTAATGAGACATTTTTTCCCAGACAAACCATAATAGATATCAGAAGTAAAACCCATTCTGTTTTTTGTAATAGGAAAAAGAAATAAATAAGGATTACTTTGAAAACCTAAGTCGTAAGTTGTTTCTAGATAATTTCTCCAAATTTCCGAATTGAAAAAAAAAATTGATAGGAAGATACAAATGCCTAAGTATGTTTTTGTTTTCTGAAGTTTGAATACGGTGAAAGAGTTGACTTACACATTCTCGGAATTTCTCTTAATACAATCTCCAATTTTAGAACTAAAATATTTTTCCAACAATTAATTATTGAATGCAAAATGACTTATAACTGCAGAGTTGCTGGACCTTTCCATGTCAATATAAGAATATTTTATTTAACAAAAAAAATGATACTATACTTCCATCAATATGACACTTATTTTCTTTACTTATTCTTTTCTTTTCTACTTTATTTTTCTTTAACAATTTTAAAACATGCCCAAACACCAACTATGGATTGCATGACTGGAGTCAGCTCTTCAAGAACCCCAGCAAGTCAACAAGGCAATAAGATACCAGATAGAGTAAGCTTTCTGCTTACAAATATTTTAAATGAAAAATAAAGATTAAGGATGATCCACTCTACAAACAGAAACCAATAAAAATTAAGATTTTACCTGATTTAATATAACTTAATCTAGAAACAGCAGCTACCAACCTTGCCACCTCATCACCAAAACTCTGCTTCTATGCTAAACAAACTTTCACATGTATCACCTACATCATGTAATATCCCAGCCACAACTGTGTCTATAGCCTGCAGCAAACTTTCGGACCTTAGTTAAGGAATTAATTGAGTGAGAGCATGTTTTTGAGCAACCCTGGAACTTCTGAGGGCTACTTTTTGTAATAAGAAAAAATAATGCAATTGACCTCAACATGATATTATCAGAAAATAACAGAATGAACTAAGTTTCCAGACCATCACCAATTGAGTTCAATTAACTATCTACCCAAGTAATCATTGTTATCATAAGAACCAACAATTAACCATTAACATTAGAACATAAAAATGGCTAGAGTTACTGTTTAAAACATCACAATGGCTATTTCTTTTACTGTAAGATGTTTTCCAGCCCTACAATAGGGCAATGATCCTTGTCCTGCATGATATCATAATGGCTCCCTAGCTTCTCTGAAAGAAAGGAATAGTCATATATACTGGTTTACAAGTATAGAGATGGATTAATGAAGTAAAATACAAGTCCAATATAGGAGTCAAACAGCATCATATGCTGAAGGAATAAAATAAATGCACCTTACATGCAATTTGCATGTGTGTGTGTGTGTGCGCTATTGAAGAAACACAAAAAAAAAAAAAGTAAGCAGTTGAAAGATTATCAGAAGAACAAAATAACACAGACACATTACAATGCAACAAACTTAATAGTAGTTGGTTATACAGTTTCATACTCGTAGGCCACTTGATGGAACCAACATAGCTAAGATTCTTCCTGTGTGAATGCAATGTGATAAATATGGCTCTCCTGTTTTCCTGAACTGCCCATGGTGAGCTCTTTTTGAAAATGCAATAGCCTTTTGCACCTGCCTTCACAAATTCGGTGTTTTAGTCGAAGAAGAGGACTATATACAAGTCAAACTCATAAGGCAACAAGAAATGGCAAACCTTTGCCTCCTTAAATATAGGATAGCCAGTCACATCTATTCCTTCCACTGTAAAAGAACCTGCACCACATTCAATGACATTGTTAACATGAAAATTGAAGCAGAAAACATGAAGAAAATATTCAGTAAGTAGACAGTGAATGATAAGACATCTAATTATAAATTATAAAGAGCATAAATTATAGTCATGCTCTTGCTAATAAGCTAACATCAGGAATTAATAATTAATTTAATAAGGAGGAACACAAGGTTTCTAATGAAAACTATATCCATTATGCTAAACTATTATTCCATAATTATGGGAAGGCATCAAAAGCAGTGTCCTCTAGGCTCAAATGTGTAAATCAATGTGCATGAGAGAGATAGAGCTTCCTCTAAGAAAGACACACTGAGTTTGAATCAAGATAAGTAAATAATTGAATCAGAAAGAAATTATCAAGTACAAAGCAAGTGATTAATCATAAGTAAGGCTACAAGACCTGGGGAAGAAGTATATAAATAAATGTTTAGCTAAAATATTATAAAAAAATATGTTCTCAAATTTTCCAAATAAGCTCTAACTCATCTATTGCATCCAACTGAGCATTAAAGTTCTATTTGTGTTTTATTAAGTCCTTATTTTGAACAAAACTGTTGAAGTCAGCTATCTTTGTCACATCAGCGCACACGTGACTGTTACCTTTGCCAAATCATTGTCTACATGGCAAAATAAGAAAATATATGCTGAGTTGGTGCCTACATGGCATGTAGCACAGGCTACATGACATGGCATAACACATCAGCATTTACAGAGCTCCTACTTTGTCACATTTGTGACATTTAGATCCTAAGATAGTAAAGATAACGGATTCTTATGGTTTCCATCCAAATAAGGTTCAATTAGACAAAAGCAACAATAGAAGGATAGGGGCTTATTTGGGAAATTTAACAAAGAACAAGGGCCTTTTTTAGTATTTTAGCCAAAATGTTTTCGTAGCGTATAGCTGTATGCACAATTGTAAGAATTAAAAAAACTGAAAACCAGTGCCTGCAGAATAAAATGAACGTCCAAAAAACTATACACCAACAGACAGGCTTGAAACAAGAG